CCCTTCAGTCTGCGGGCTGACGCTTTATCTACTGAGCCAAACCAGCTAGGGCTAGAATACTATTTAAAAAAAAATTTTTTTTTATTGATTTCAGAGAGGAAAGGAGAGGGAGAGAGAGATAGAAACATCAATGATGAGAGAGAATCACTGATCGGTTGCCTCCTGCATGCCCGCCCCCCCCACTGGGGATCAAGCCTGCAACTCGGGCATGTGCCCTGACCAGGAATCGAACCATGACCTCCTGGTTCATAGGTAGATGCTCAACCACGGAGCCATACCGGCCCGGTGGTATAATACAGTTAATTACATATTCTCTCCCTCCCACCCCATCCCCTGCAATTTCACCAGTTTTCCCACGAATCTAATTTTTTCGCTCTGAGGGTCAGTCAGGAAACCACACTGCATCTAGTCTCACGTCTGCTTAGTCTACTCCTGACTGACAGTGTCTTGGTCTCTCCTTGTTTTCCGTGACCTTGACATTTCTGAAGAGCACCGGTCAGATGTTTTGTGCAACGTCCCCTCAATTTCATGGTTTGAGTGTTTCTCGTGGTTCCACTGGGGGTTTAAGGATTTGGGGGAAGATACGCAGAGGTGAAGGGCTTTTTTCACTGCAGCGAACCAGGGCCAGTGTGACAGCAACGTGACTCTCTGCTGCCCATGTTAACCTTGACATTTAGTTAAAGTGGCATCTGCCAGGCTCCCCCCACCCCCGCCCGGCTGAGCCACTGTGTTGCTTCTGTCCAAACTCTGTCAGAAGGGAGTCACCATGTCCAGGCCACACTGAAGGGGAGAGGCAGCAGAACCAAAGAATTTTCAGCTGAATGCTGAAACGACCACAGTCATCGAAAACCACTTGGGGGAGATACTTTGAGATTCTACAAATACCCTGTTTCTTCTTAAAGTTTTGCCCACCGATTTAAGCAATGTTGCAATTATTACTATGGTGATGGACTTTTTTTTTCTTCCTTCCAAATGGACTGTTAGCTTGATTTTTTAACTTTTGAATATTTAGACATATGATTTATGGGCCTCTATTTTTTATTAATTTAATTTATTTTTTATATATTTTTATTGATTTCGGAGAGGAAAGGAGAGGGAGAGAGAGATAGAAACATCAACGATGAGAGAGAATCATGGATCGGCTGCCTCCTGCACGCCCACTACTGGGGATGGAGCCTGCAACCTCGGCAAGTGCCCTGACCGGGAATTGAACCATGACCTCCTGGTTTATAGGTTGATGCTCAACCTCTGAGCCACACCGGCCGGACTGGGCCTCTACTGATATTGTTTCCTGGGTCCCTCCCAGGTCACGTGCTTGAGGAAGACGTGTACTTACACCGCTTTATGCATCAAAGGAGACTTTGATTCTGCAGCAGTTTCCCAGGGCGGCCCAAACAGTGCCACACTGGGTGGCTTAAAGCAACAGATCACTATTTTCTCCCAGAGTTCTGGAGGCCAGAATTCTGAAGTCAAGGTGACCAGTTGATCACTTTTTTGTTTTTGTTTTTTTTGTTAATCCTCACCTGAGGATATCTTTCCATTGATTTTTTTAGGGAGAGTGGAAGGGAGGAGAGACGGAGAGAAACATCGATGTGAGAGAGACATGTTGATCGGTTGCCTCCCACATGCACCCTGACCAAGGCCAGGGATGATGGAGCCTGCAACCGAGGTACGTGCCCTTGACCGGAACCGAACCCGGGACCCTTCAGTCTGCCGGCCTTCGCTCTATCCATTGAGCCACACCGGCCAGGGCCACGAGCACTTTGTGAAGGAAACCTTTAGCCAGGAACCCATCCCCTCCCCCAATGGGCAGGTACTCGGTACAGAGCCGCGCACATTTCTATGACAAGACAAAGTCCCACGCCCGCCCCCCCCACAGGTTGTCATCTGCCCAATATTGATCAGAAGGATTCTCTTGGGGCATCGCTCCCAGTTCCAACCTCTTCTCGGCCTAGCCCTGTCCATTGCTGGTTCCATACGAGCCACCTTCCTCCCCAGAGAGGAATCGCTGAAACAAGATGTCAGTGGGGTTTGCCATTGGGGAACACCTGGGGACGGGCCCGGCAGAGTCTGGTTATAAACTGTTAGGGTTCACCCTAGCTAGTGTGCTCAGTGGTTAGAGCGTCAGCCTGTGGACGGAAGGGTCACTGTTCGATGCCGGTCCAAGGGCACATGCCTGGGTTGCAGGCTCGGTCCCCAATAGGGGACGTGCAGGAGGCAGCCGATCCATGATTCTCTCTCATCATGATGTTTCTCTCTCTACCTTCCTCTCTGAAACCCATCAACCAACCAATAAAAGCTGCTGGGGCAGTGCAGGTGCGGTGGCCTCGGGGGAGCAGCCCAGCTCTCCGGGAGTGAGGACCCTGCTGTTGGGGGGGAGGGTGTCTGCCGGCCTCCGTGTCAGGGGTTCTGAGGAGACAGGCCGTCCTCAGAGGACACGTGGCGCCTGCCTGCCGTTGCTCAACAGTCCCTGGCTTTCCCAACGCAGGGGCTGGAGACACTTGGCTGGACGTGTACAAGTTGCCCAAGGAGGCTTGGGTCAAGGAAGTGGAACACCCCCAACTGGCTGTGAACCCAAAGAAAAAACCCAAACAGCTCCAAGCGGTAGGAAGCCTGCGTTTCTCCCTCCCCTGGCCCTCCATCCCGCATGAGCCCTCCTGGGGACATGGAGATGAATGGGGGTGGGAGGGAGGCCAGTCACCCTGGCCATGTCTCCCAAACCAATTCGCTCTGGTTCAAACCGGATGTTAACGGGCAGAGTGGCTGCGGGAGCAGGACTCAGTCCCTCCCGGGTCTGGGCGTTGCCTCTCCACCCAGGACTCCTAGGCATTTCTCTGGGGGCCTTTCCTCTTGCCTCCCAGGCAATTTCTCTTCCCTTGGGGGTTGATGTAACCCTTTCATGCCCTGCATTCCCCTGAATTTCCCAAACTCTGATATAAACAGCTTATTCTCAGTATACAGAAATGCAGGTATTTTTTAAAAAATGTATTTGCATTGATTTCAGAGAGGAAAGGAGAGGGAGAGAGATAGAAACATCAATGAGAGAGAATAACGGATCGGCTGCCTCCTGCACGCCCCCTACTGGGGATCGAGTCCACAACCGAGGCATGTGCCCTGACCGGGAATCGAACCGTGACCTCCTGGTTCATAGGTCTACGCTCAACCACTGAGCCACGGCCAGGCATGGGTTTGAGTCTACCACTTTGCTATTTACTCTCTATCGTCCTACCGTTTTTTTCTTCCTTTTCCCTCTTTGCCTGCCATATTTGGAATTATTCTGGTGGTTTTTTTTCCCCTCCTCTGTGGTCTTATTAGCTGTGCCTTTTCCTTATTGTAGGATGGAAGCACCTGTTGTCTGGCGGAGTTTAAGTTGAGTATTCCAGTCCAGGTAATGAAGATCAAGCCACCCAAACCCATTACAGGCCAGTATGATTCCACTAATACTCTCCTTTGGCCATTGATTTTGCATTGTTTTTTCCTTTTGTTGCCTTTTCCCACCTTTCCCATCTTTTCTATTTATGGGCAGCAATATCTAAATCACAAGTACAGTTCTGGAGAGAAAATGTTCTTTTTTTTTTAAATATATTTTATTGATTTTTTACAGAGAGGAAGGGAGAGGGATTAGAGAGTTAGAAACATTGATCAGCTGCCTCCTGCATACTCCCCACTGGGAATGTGCCCACAACCAAGGTACATGCCCTTGACCGGAATCGAACCTGGGACCCCTGAGTCCGCAGGCTGACGCCCTATCCACTGAGCCAAACCGGTTAGGGCGAGAAAATGTTCTTTAAGTGATAAACTCTGGGACCTAAAGACACACGTTATAAATGTTACAGGGATTCTGTTAACTAACAGAATGGGGAGACCATGAAACAGAGAGGTCTTTCTTGGTGCTGATAGGAATTCATTCCTTTTTTAAAAAAAAATTTTTTTAAGATTTTTTTTTTTACATCGGTTTGTTTGAATCAGAATCCAAACATATTAATTGACTTGTCATGTCTTTTTTGTTTGTTTGTTTGTTTTTTAAATATATTTTTACTGATTTCAGAGAGGAAGGGAGAGGGAGAGAGAGAAACATCAATGATGAGAGAGAATCATTGATCGGCCGCCTCCTGCACATCCCCTACTGGGGATCCAGCCTGTAACCCAGGCATGTGCCCTTGACTGGAATTGAACCCGGGACCCTTCAGTCCACAGGCCAACGCTCTATCCACTGGGCCAAACCGGCTAGTGCTGGAGTTCATTCATTGCTACACCCCATGTTAGTTCATTCATCAGTACAGTCAGCAGTAGGTTCTGCAGGTGGAAGCAAAACGATGTATAACGAACCGGTTAGACCAGTGATGGCGAACCTTTTGAGCTCGGCGTGTCAGCATTTTGAAAAACCCTAACTTAACTCTGGTGCCGTGTCACATAGAGAAATTTTTTGATCTTTGCAACCCTAGTAAAACAAAGATTTATATTTTTGATATTTATTTTATATATTTAAATGCCATTTAACAAAGAAAAATCAACCAAAAAAATGAGTTTGCGTGTCATAGGTTCGCCATCACTGGGTTAGACCATCCGTGGATGGAATATGCTACCGTGAGCTTATCAACGAGGAGCCTGCTGTAGAGAGCTACACAGCGAAGTGATAACAGTGGCTGCCCTGGGGAGGGGCATCCGGGCCACCGTGGGACCCGGCAGGCAACTTGAGGGGCCTGGGCACGTTCCAGAGAGTACCGAGTCCTGACAGTTGGGGGTGCGGACCCAGAAACGAAATCGCCCGGTTTTCCTGTGGGCTTAGGGACAGATGACAGGCAGGAAACGAAAGCTTATGGGAAGGGGAGTGATGAAGACAGTGACTGACAGAGGGAGGCGGCCTTGGAAAGGAAGGTAGTTGCAGGAAACTAAACAGAGAAAGGGACAGGACTGCCTGCTGGGTTGGTGGGACAGCGACCGTGCCCTCAGGTCTCCGGTGACGTGGGGAACATCCCCTGGAGATGCTGTAACCCGGGGTGAGGACCTGCGGTGGGAGGGAGACGCGGAAGCAGAAGGAGCAGCAGCTTGTGGCCCGGGCTCCCTGAGCGTGGGGGTAGCAGAGAGGCCCGGGAAAGACAGCGCCTGGGCTCATGGACGGACGGACGGACGGACGGACGGACGGAGGGTTGCAGGCGAGACTGGGTTTCTGAGGAGGCGGGATGCTGCAGGAGCTGGGAAGCGTGGAGGAAGGAGGGGAGCCTCGGGAAGCGGGAGCCGGACGGTCTGGCCGACTCTGGACTATGTCCCGCGCAGGCAGCCTATTTAAGAGCCCCCTGGAAGTGTTTGCTAAGATGGAGGGCTGCTACGGGCTGGGCTCGGGCCAGAACCACATCATCAAGGACAGTCAGTGGGAGCAGCACACCGCCGTCTTCAACGCCACCTACAGGAAGTACCTGGATGGGGAGTGGGAGGAGGAGCCGCTCAGGTGAGCCCTCACCCTGTGCCCTGGCCCCCAGGGCTTCTCCCCAAGGACCTGAATCAATCCGGGGTCTAAAAGCTTCTGGTTTGGGGCTTCTCTCTGAGAACTCCAGCAGATCGTTCGAGAAGTCATCCTATATAGTAAAAGGGTAATATGCAAACTGACCCTAACAGCAGAACAACTGGGAATGACTGGTCACTATGACACACATTGACCACCAGGGGGCAGTCACTTGATGCAGGAGCTGCCCCCTGGTGGTCAGTGCGCTCCCACATGGGGGAGCTCTGCTCAGCCACAAGCCAGGCTGCCAGCTGCCAGTACAGCGGTGGTGGTGGAAGTCTCTCCCGCCTTCTCAGCAGCGCTAAGGATGTCCGACTGCAGCTTAGGCCTGATCCCCGCTGGCAAGTGGACATCCCCGAGGGCTCTCGGGCTGCCAGAGGGATGTCTGACCGCCAGCTTAGGCCCAATCCCCGGGGGAGCAGGCCTAAGCCAGCAGGTGTACATCCCCCGAGGGGTTCCAGACTGCGAGAGGGCACAGGCCAGGCTGAGGGATCCCCCCAAGTGCACAAATTTTTGTGCACCAGGCCTCTATATATATATATTTTATTGATTTCAGAGAGAAAGGGAACAGGAGAGAGATAGAAACATCAATGATGAGAGAGAATCATTGATCGGCTGCTTCCTGCATGGCCCCTATTTGGGATCGAACCCGCAACCCGGGCATGTCCCCTGACTGGGAATCAAACCATGACCTCCTGGTTCATAGGTTGATGCTCACCCACTGAACCATGCTGGCAGGGCGAGAAGTCATATCTTTTTGAGATTTTTTTAAACAGGACAAAGGCTGAGAACATGGATTTCAAGAAGGAATAGATAGTAGCTGTGGAGATGGCAAACAGCTTATTATACTACTTTAGGTATGATACCATCTCTTAGCATTTTGTCCTAGTTATCTAGACAACACGGAAGATCCTAGACGTAGAACTGTAAGTCACTACCGTTAACATCTGTCTCCATTTCCTGCGGGCCCCACTCGCCCCATGTCCTGACGGTAAAAGCAGAGCCCCAGCCTGGGAAGTGTCTACTGGGGATGGAGCCCAGAACCCGGGCGTGTGCCCTGACTGGGAACCGAACCGTGACCTCCTGGTTCAGAGGTCGATGCTCACCCACTGGGCATGAACGCTCTCATCTTGCCCTCATTGGGCCTTGAGTTTGCTCCGTCAGGACACAGCCCTGGGGCTGAGCCCCCTGCACCCCGCTGCACCCTGGGCTGGAATGAGCGAGGCTCAGGGGAGCGCTGCCTGGCGAGGCGTTTAGGAACCTGCAGGCAGCTGTTAAACCGCTGGTTACTGTCCATCACGAGAGTGTTTATGCCACAGAAAGCCACAGCCCTATAAATCAGGAATTGGGGCTTTAAAAAACAGAGCCAATTTTTCAGCACAGCATGGCTGTACCGCCCCCAGGATAAGAGGGCATTCGGGCATATGGCCCAAGCCTGGTCCTGAAGGGGTCTTCCCGGGTCAGAGAGGGCGCTGGTCCCGCCTGGGAGAGGGTCCCACAGCCCCGCCCCCTGCACCCACCAGGACCTGCACCCAGAATGCCATGTGCCTCGGGGCTCTGGACCCCATTTCCGGTCCTGGTACCGAGACTACCAGCCTTGCTCCTTGCCAAGGAGTCTGCCGTGGCTCTGACGAGTCTCTCTCTCTCTCTCTCTCTCCAGCATGGCCACGTTCCACTTCCTTTTTCACAGCTGCCTAACGGTGATGCCAGCAGAGGTCAAGAGCCCCCCAGGTAAGTGACCATGAAGGAGTGGCTGCCCTGGGCACGTGGCCAGTCACCCTGGGCAATGCCTCAGCATCTGGACCCCCCCAGAGGGGTCCCCGCAGCACACCCTGCGTGGGGGGAGGGGGCCAGGTGGAAGCCGGCGCCGGCTGTGGCCCAGAGGCCCTGAGAATGGGGCTGGCACTGTCTTCCGGGAGTGACCTGCCTCAGGGGAGGGTGCCAGGCTGTTCTGGATATGAATTCACTTCGTACAGGATGTGATTTAAAAACCGACAGCCGGCCCAGCCCACGTGGCTCAGTGGTTGAGCGTCGACCTAGGAGCCAGGAGGTCTCGGGCTCAGTCCCCAGTAGGGGACCTGCGGGAGGCAGCCGATCCATGATTCTCTCATCATTGATGTTCCTACCTCTCTCTCCCTCTCCCTTCCTCTCTGAAATCAATAAAAATATATTTTTAAAAATATCAGTAAAACACTGACAGCCAGATGGACACGAATGATCTAGAAGCTGTGGAAGCAGCCGAGGGCAGCTGCGGCCACTGTCCCTCCCAGGAAGAGGAGCTGGCCTAGGAGCAGCCCTCTGGGGTGCCCCGCCCCTGCTCTCCGAGACGCTCACCCTTGTGGTGGGTGCCGCCCATTGGAAACAAACCACTTTTTTAAAAATATATTTTTATTGGTTTTAGAGAGGAAAGGAAAGGGAGAGAGAGAGAAACATCAATGAGGAGAGAGAATCATGGATCAGCTGCCTCCTGCACACCCCACACTGGGGATGGAGCCTGCAACCCAGGCATGTGCCCTGACCAGGAATCGAACTGTGACCTCCTGGTTCATAGGTCGACGCTCAAACACAAAGACACACCAGCCCGGCGGAACAAACCATTTTTTATTTCAAACCGACTTCCCCTTGGGCAATGGCCACCCCGGCTCCTTACTGACGCCCCCCCTCTCCTTCCCCAGGGGTCCCCAGTGTCCTCGGCGTGCACTGGACGGGCCGGCACAACTTCTTCCTCTATTCACTCAACCGCAACCTGAAGGACAGAGTTGGTACTCGGCTGCCTGAGCTCGGGGCCCTGGGAACAGGTCCTGCTCCAGCTTAGCCGAGAGCACGTGGCTGGCACATAGTGTGGCTTCAGGGACCAGAGCTGTGCGGGCAGACGTGGGGGACGTGGGGGTGGTGGTGTGGTCTGAGGCTCTGTCTCAGAACTGTCCTGCTTCTTTTTAAAAAAATATATATATTTTTTTATTGATTTCAGAGAGGAAGGGAGAGGGAGAGAGAGAGAGAAATATCAGTGATGAGAGAGAATCATTGACCGGCTGCCTCCTGCACGCCTCACACTGGGGATCAAGTCCACAACCCGGGCATGTGCCCTGACCGGGAATCGAACCGTGACCTCCTGGTTCACAGGTCGATGCTCAACCGCTGAGCCACGGCGGCCGGGCTTGTCCCGCTTCTCAAAGACAACAGGTCAACAGGGACAAAGCCCAGTCAGGTCTCCAGGGCCCTGGGCAGCGAAGGTCAGGAGAAGGTGGCCTTGACCTCTGAGGACCAGGGCCAGAGCCCGGCCCGGCCCAAGTGCCTGCGAACTGTGCAGTCTCAGGCCTGTCACCTGACACCCCAATCCCCCGACTTCTCCTCCGAAACACAGAGCTGGTTAATGACCATCCTGCCTCCTGCTCCATTGGCTGTGAGCAGCAAAACCCAGAGTTCTGTATGTGAAAGCTCTTTGGCATCGACAGGCCCTTAGGAAATACATTTGTTGGTTTTTTACATATTTACGGGGACGGTTACACGAGTCAGTTCACTCTGTGGTATTTCCTTGAGCGGAACACTTATGCTGTATTTTATAAAAATATATTTTATTAATTTTTTACAGAGAGGAAGAGAGAGAGATAGAGAGTTAGAAACTTCGCTGCTGACTGCCTAGGTGACCTTGGGAAAATCAGCCACTTCCGTGCCTCAGTCTCCTCATCTGTAAAATGGGAGCTAGCAGGACCCACTCATAGGACCCTGTGGGAATCCAATGGAGCGAGGCGTGAAAGCGCTTCCCACGGCGTCTGCGCTCACTGATCATGAGCTGCAGCCTAACAGGCGTGTGACGTGCTCTATCATCCCGAGCAAGGAGCTAGCGCTGCACGGAGGGGGCGAGATGGGAGTCCACACAGGTGCTCCTGCCCTCGTCCCCGACGGGCAGGCTAGCCTGGTCTCAGGTGGTGCCGGTGGAGAGGACGGGGGTATGGGGCCTGGGGGGGCAGCCTGGTGAGTGTGTCCTTCCTGCTTAGACCCCGAGGGCGTGTGGCCTTGTGCGGCGCCCATTGCCTTGTCTCAGCTCAGCGACTGCGGCTCCTACCTGGTGCTGGCCTGCGAGGACGGGGTGCTGACGCTGTGGGACCTGGCTGAAGGTGAGCCCCCCCTCTGCCCGGCACCCGGATGTATCTCCAGGGACCGAGACTCCAGGAGCTCTGAATTCCTGCTGATCTTAAAGGCCCCTCGGAGGGCTGGTCCTGCTTTCCCCTCATTCACTAATTCATTCAACAGACATCACCTCCCAGTGCCACACGCCCTAGCCCTCCCCCCCACCCCGCCTCAAGCTCTCAGAACAAGCAAGTCTTCCTTCCTGCTCCCCCAGCCCCTGCTGACAGCAGGAACCTCTTTGCTGTTGAAGCTGAGAGACCTGGCCAGCGATCAGTTCGAAACCAGCAGCTACTGTGGGTGGGCAGAACGATCACAACTTCACAGTCCCTTCCAATAGCTTGTTTTCATCTTCCTGGATGTTGATAAATGCTTCCAAGGCAGTGGTTCTCAACCTTCTGGCCCTTTAAATACAGTTCCTCATGTTGTGACCCAACCATAAAATTATTGTCGTGGCTACTTCATAACGGTAATGTGGCTGCTGTGATGAATCGTCATGTCAATATCTGATATGCAGGATGGTCTTAGGTGACCCCTGGGAAAGGGTCGTTCGACCGCCAAAGGGGTCGCGACCCACAGGTTGAGAACCGCTGTTCTAAGGGGTACTTAGAAGGGGTCCCCTGAAGGGGGCACTCACTGCTTGATTTTTGTCCTCACGTCCCTCAGGCCCTTGCTGGCTGCAATCCCGCACCAGGGCTGCATCCCTTTGTCCCCCCTTTTAAAAAAATATTTTTATTGATTTCAGAGGGGAAGGGAGAGGGAGAGAGAGAGAGAAACATCAATGATGAGAAGGAATCACTGATCGGCTGCCTCCTGCAGGCCCCACACTGGGGATGGAACCCGCAACCCAGGCACGTGCCCTGACCAGGAATCGAATCGTGACCTCCTGGTTCCTAGGTCGACGCTAACCACTGAACAACACCGGCTGGGCCCTTTGTCCCCTTTCCGACCTGCACGCGTGCCTCTCTCCCCCCAGGACTGCCTCTTGGGGTCATCGCTCTTCCTGAGGTGTGTTCCTGCCAAAGCATTCACTTCCTGAAACACTACTTGGTCCACGAGGGGCGGAACGTGTACCCCGAGGGGCCGGTGAAGTCCCAAACGACCTGTGTGGTGCTGTGCACGGACTCGTCCCTCCACCTGGTGACCGCCGCGGGGGCCCGAGGCCCCACCGTCAGCATGCTGGTGGAGAGGTCGGTGGCTCTGAGGGGAGGGCGGGGGAGAGGATCCGCCAGGGCTGGTAGCGAAGCAGCGACCACCTCCCAGGCCGGAGCCCCCTTGCCCCACAGCCACCCGCCTCTCCCGATGAGCTGCTCAGCATCACGTCTCCCGTATGCGGGTGTCTGTATGCAGCAGGGTCCCATCAGAATGGTATGATGGCAGACAACCCCGTTCACAGCCCACACGGCCAAGAAGAGGGTCACTTCTGCCAAAATAGCCTTTTCTCAGTTTCCCCACGGTCCCTCTCTCTTCTTCTTCTTTTTTTTTTTTTAATATATTTTATTGACTTTTCTACAGAGAGGAAGGGAGAGGGATAGAGAGTTAGAAACATCGATGAGAGAGAAACATTGATCAGCTGCCTCCTGCACGCCCCCCACTGGGGATGTGCCCACAGCCCAGATACATGCGGACCTTTCAGTCCGCAGGCCGACGCTCTATCCACTGAGCCAAACCGGTTCCGGCCCCTCTCTCTTCTTTATTATTATTTTTTAAATATATTTTTTATTGATTTCAGAGAGGGAGAGGGAGGGAGAGATAGAAGCATCCATGATGAGAGAGAATCACCCACTGGCTGCCTCCTGCACGCCCCCTCCTGGGGATCGAGCCCACCACTAGGGCACGTGCCCTGGCCTAGAATCGGTTGAACCGTGACCTCCTGGTTCATAGGTCGATGCTCAATCACTGAGCCACGCCGGCTGGGCGGGCGAGAGAGTCCACCTTTTGATGGGAGTTGGTCTCAAACATCACGGCCCTTTTTTTTTTTTTTCAATCCACCACATCATTTTCCTAAATTCATTCCGTTGCTTTCCTTTAAGAATTACCCACACCCGTGGGCGTGTGTCCCCACGCAGCACCTGTAGCTGGGCATATGGAGGGCGCGTGTAAATGGCGCCACGGTCTAAGCATCCTCCCACTTATATTTCAGTGCTATTTATTCTGTAACTTGCTCGGGGGTTGAGGGTGCCCGGGAGGCCGCCCTCGGCTGCGGGCCTCACTCCCACCGCTGCGCTGTGTTCTGTGGCGCACACACCAGTTACTGACGCGTTCTCCCACTAGTGGAGACTTGCATTGCTCCCAGTTTTTGCCACTATGGAGAGTCCCCCACATCTCTCTGCTGCTTATCTGCAAGCGTTTATTCAGGACGCACGCCTGTGAGAGGAGAGGGTGAGTGTCTGTCCGTCGATGCCCACAGGCCTGTCAAGCACCCGGAGGAGGCTCTCTGCGCCGTGGCCCCAGTCCCGACCTTGCCTGGCATGGTAG